GTCTAATAAAAAGTTAACTCTATATAGAAAATAAAATGTATGTATGTTCACTATGTAATCTCAACCGGGATGAAACGTGTACCCTTTTATAGCAGAATGTCCAAGAGGCGTGGAGTAAAGGGTGGGAATTGATAATGGTGTATAATTATTAAATTTAAGAATTGAGATATCAATACAAAAACGGGAAAAATCTATGTAATTTAAAAAGTTTATAAAATATTGTTTGTTAAGTATCTATCAAAGTAAATTATTAAGTAACAGGTTTTTTTTATGAATTATTGATTGTTTGTAGGAAAAATTCAGATTCTCAGTAGGCTACATTTAAATTTTATTATTCATTCAATTGTTATCTGATCTTTATTAGTATGTAGTGCTATTAGTGTATATTCTGTAGTTGAAATCAGTTTATTTTTTGAATAATTGTATGTGATTCATGGAATTTTTTAAACTGTTTTAAAATATTTTAAAATCAGTGTGTCTAACACAAAACAGACGTTCTTTGACCATTGTTCTTTGCATTTAAATAATAATAAAAAATAAAAAAAACACTGTATTGATATTTTATTACAATGAACAAATTTTCTTCTTCTCCTTCTTCTTCTTCAGAAATCCATAATAATTCTTTTTAAATATTTATTTATCTCATAATTCTTTTCGTAGATTATCGTAACGCAAAATGATTAATAAAAGATTGCATTATTATCCTTACCCGTTTTAAAGTTATAGCTTTATTGCTAAGAGTCTGTAAATTTATCTAAAAAGGGGGGTTAGAGAAAAGCACAAGGGGGGAGGAGTGTTGACTTTCGGGAAAATGATCATCTCAACATGGTCTAACAGCATAGAAAAATTCAGCTTTCCCATAGTTACTTACAACATCAAACCTATATTGACTGTGGGCTACGTACCATCCATGCGCGCCTCGATACTACTACGAATTTTCCACGTTTACTCTTACTGAAATCAACGTAGCTCTGTTGTTCTTGCACAGATTTCATTAAACTTGGTGCTGTTGTACTACTTGTTAGTTTTTCTAACCATAAATAGTTTGTAACATGCCCTAAACAAGCGCAATATTTCCGATAATTCATTTTAAAGTATTTTTAAATTTTATTTTTTGCAATAAATGTTGATTAGCGCCCAAAGTATAAGAGATAGAAGAAAGGTTGTAATAACCATTTTGAAGGACAATATATTTAGGCGTAGATAGACGCTTAATTCACCTTTCTATCATTAACCGTTTGAGAGTTAGACGCGGAAACATAAACCGATGACCCGCGCAACTTCCCCCCCTCCCCCCCGAGTTGTGACCACCCTAGAAATGCGACATCATCGATTTTTTTCATCTACTAGATGTCCCCAACAATAATCAAAAGTCAAATTTTGTCAGACTTTCAGTGCATACTCAACCCGTTTAGCGCCTGGACTATGTTCTAAAGTTGGTTATCCAACGCATAATTGTGTTACGCAACGGAACTTCTCCATGTTGACCTTCTAAATTAAAGAATTTACGTAACTGCCGTTGAGTTTTAATGACTGAATCATTGCTTTTGAAATATGACTCCAATAGCAAACGCGCGTTGCTCAGGTGACCACTGCTCCATGTCTACTAAAATGGCATCTATTGGGCTTTTCAACGAGCCTACCCCCAGCACGCTCAGACGCATTGTTGCTGAATAGCGCGCCGCAGAAAATAGTTCTGTTTTTTTGCCGCACCTTGTATAAGCACAAAAAATAAATTTTAAATTTAAAAAAATTAACATAGGCTTTATGTGTTGCCATGCTGGTGACGAAATAACAACGAAATATAAACAGAAAATCAAAACAAATGAAAGAAATTACAATCACATGTTTTATTTACAGCGTGGGGTGAAAATAGAGAAACCTGTACCTTTGACTTACAACTAGACATTCCATCCCTATCACGAATACTAGAAAAATACCGGTATGGATCATAAACATAAACAAATGACGTTGTTGGCCCGAATCCTATACTAATAGCATTGGACATATGTTTTGGCAGTTCCATTTAAGCAATGTTAAATCATGTTTATTTACGGGCCAAAAACGTCATTTGTTTATGTTTATGATCCATACCGGTATTTTTCTAGTAATCGTGATCCCTGTTAAAGTTTTCACCAGTTTTGATTAAATTCGTCGTAGTTGATGTGGGCCACCAACAGATTGCGCTGATCTAAATTACTAGTTTCTCTTGAATACACGATGATTTTTACCAAGTTAAACTTATGGAATGACTTAGTAAGAGCTATAGCAATTAACTGTTATGACCCATCAACTTTGTTAGCAACAAAAAATAAGATAGAAAATATAATTTTAGACACGCATACTGTGACTGGCTCACACAACTACATATGTTTTAAATTTAAAAATTGCTACAACTGGTCCATATAGATGGAATGTCTACTTCAGTATCCAATACTCAATCCGGGTACATTACATATTTTTGGTCGAGTTTTCGACCACTGGACGACCACTAGTCTTTAGTTAAAAATTAAAATATATTTTGAAGAAGTGAGATTGAATAGATTTCTAATTGATTGTAATTTGTTATACGTTATACATACAATAATAGTTTTTACATTTTTAAGACCACATTGCAATGGTTAAGTAAATATAGTTGTTATTTGTTTTTTAGTAGGCTTTGCTTTAGTAAGAATATTTTTTCATGGAAACTTTGCTGTTTGCTAGAACTTTGTTTGGTTAATATTAACTAGGTGAATCCCGTCGAAATTGACGGTTACTCTTGAGTTTTTAGGTTTTAAAACAGTTTTAAATTAATATATAGATTGTCTATAATAAATTCAAAACTACAAGACAAAGACTAGCCATACATTGAAATATTTATACTGTATCTGCTGCCTGAATGTGGCAGTTCTAAGCTATATGAATAGACTAAATTGGCTTTTATACTTTAACTATCTGTACCCGCGGGCTTTGCCCCGTTTAACTTCATAAGTATTCGCATGGCTCATTCACGTCCTGGTTGAAGTTCGTTCGCTACGCTCACTCACCTTTAGGTTGGAGCTCGTTCGCTGCGCTCACTTGCCTTCAGGTTAGCTCGTTCGCTACGCTAACTCGCCTCCAGGTTGAAGTTCGTTCGCTACGCTCACTCACCTTTTGGTTGGAAATTAGCTGTTGTCATTAATAATAAAAAAAATAATAGTACTGCACCCTGTTGGTAATCCTTGTAACTTTTATGCTATGGAACATCATAGAACAGAACCAACTTGTTTAATTGAAACAGCTGATTCATTAATTCCTTTTAAATATGAAAAATCATAAGGTTAACATGGGGAACTACAGAGCCACTGGGGCGGAGCCCGAAAGGATTTTTGAGATAAGAATATGCTTTAATGTTAATCGGGAATGTGAGCTATCATCATGCCAAATTTCAGCCCAATCCGTCCAGTAGTTTATGCGTGATTGAGCAACACACACACACAAACTTTCAGATTTATAATATTAGTAAGATAAGATAAATAGGGAATATATACTTATTTAATACGCAAGCAGGTTTTTTGTGACAATTACTCCTCCGAAACTACTGAACCGATTGACTTTTTAGGGAAATAATTAGCGAGTGAGGCCCTGGGGCCCTTTAAAGTTTCATATTTCTCCATAAGATTAACATGGGAAACAAACATATTGTTATGAAACTCCAGCTGTGGTCAGAAATTAAAAGTGAGAAGAAGAACATATTTTAACTGTAAACAGTCAATGTTTACTAATTTAACAGTTTGCTACAAACATTTACTGACTTGGTTGAAATGAAATATTTACTATTATTTGAATTTGGGTTGGTGTAAATATTACAATGGAAAAAAGCGAGAGAGCCTGGATAAATTGATATACTAAAAAGAAAACTGAATTAGCACTGTGCTGCATTTCTTAGTAATCATTGAAAGAGCCGATTTGCAAACTATGGAAACATAGGAAAGTCATAGAACACCACTGAGGAGAGGAAATAAAAATGATGATTTTTTTTATTTATAATCGTTATTATGGACAACCTTATGGGGCTATGAATATGAATAAGGCTATTTGTATAAAACACTAAAAAACAAGATCAGCTTTTGAAAAATGATAAGATATTTACAAGAAATTATGATTGTATCGATCTGTTAAGTACATCTTGAGTATTTCCATAATCTTTGAGTCGAATCTTTCATCAAAAATTATGACTGTTATTCGTTTTAAAATAACGCCTGTAATACTTAGCAATTGCTCAAATTCGAGAAACAGATCCACTAGTTACAAAATATTTCAATAGTCAAGTACAATCAGAGTCTTTGAGCCAATGAGTGAGAACACTCTTTGGTATTGTTTTCCTAGTTATAGACTGAAGCTATTTTACAAAGTTACTACTTGTATTACCTACGTATTATTGTAGAGCTACCTTTGTTACCAACCATTAAGGTATGGTAAATGTTGTTTGTAGTATTTTTGCAAATAATGATCTCAAATTATATGGGACACTGTTATGTCTTCTCTAAGACTGTTAATAATTCATTTATACCTATTTTTACTATCATATGTTTTTCTATTGTTTTGGTTTTGTAAACATTCGTGAATTTGATTTTGTGTTGAGTTAAGATGTGTGCATTTATTAATTATTTTGTAATTAATAAGAGTCATTTTAATTGGAGACGAGTGTGACAATCAACTAGCCACTTTAAAATTCAACACATTTACTTTTCAAATTTACATTCAATTTCTAGTTTCAAGATACACTAATATTTTATACAGTTCAAACTATAATGGATGCACAACAGTTTACATTGCTTCTAAACACTTTCAATGAACAACAAAAAGCACTTGTACGTGAGATAACAAACATGTTTCAAGCTCAAATTCAAACAATTGGAAAACCCAGAGAAGAATGCTCTCAATTTACAATGTCAAATGTTGCTACATTCGAAAACTTTAATGCCAAACAAGAAAAGTTTACCAGCTATTTGGAACGTTTCGAAAACTATTATACAATGAAAGGTTTGACTGACAAGAAGAAAATTGCTCAGCTCTTGTGTAATTCTATAGGTAGTGATCATTATAACAACCTATCTGCATTTTTGGGTCCAGACAAGCCACTCAAATCATTAGATTTTGAAACTCTGTTAAATGACATCAAGAAAATTACTAGGAAAAAATTTGGTTCGGATTCCACTATAAACTGTAGGTCCCTTAGTTGACATTAGCTGTATGGGCTATTAATTAACAGCTGTGTCTAAGGAACATGTCGGCCTTAGTCACTAACAAGACTACAAGACCGTGCCACTCATCCTACACTCATCCTTCACTCATATTTGGGTTAAATTACGCACATAGTGGCGTCCCCATCTTAAATAATTAATTGATTGATTGATTGAAACTATTGACTCCAAAGAAAAGTGTTGTTGTTGCTCAACATTATTTCTTAAATATCTTTGAAAAAGATAACCAGTCAATTTCAGAGTTTGTGGCCGACCTCAGACGTGATCTTCAAGAATGTGAATTTGCAGTTGAATGCTCCAGCGATGAATGTGGAACATCTGTGTCAATTGCTGATGTTTTCTTGCGGGCACAGTTCATACGAGGATTGAAGGACAATTGGCTTAGGGAACACATTTTACAATCCGTGTACACAGAGTTTGATGACATTCTAGAGAAAGCTATTGCTCTTGAAGCATCAAAAATTGAAAGCAAAGAATTTCACCAACATGCATGTTCTAACAACTTTAATGTGGATTCCGCTGGAGTACACAAAATTACAAGGTCTTCCAGACGATCCCACTAGTTCTCTAACAATCGCTCATCTAACAAGACATCTCTCAACTGTAAACAACGTTCAAATAACAAAAGACCTGACTTCAATGCCCTCGGAATAGAAGGCCTCTGTCTTAGATGTGGAAGTAGCAAACACATTGCTGCAAATTGTAACAAACACAAGTATAAACTCCAATGTGGGGAGTGTTTAAAACTAGGACATGTCTCTGCGGTGTGCATAACTACACTGATGTAAAGGACTAAGAAATCAACATCAAAGTTAAATTCAACCAACAACCTAAATTCAGGATCAAATGATGACGATTATTCAAGTGACAACTCTTCTGATTACGGAGTGCACAAAATTGATTCGATCTACCAGAACTTTGATGTCGTAGATTTATTTAAAGTTAGACATGATTCAGACAAGTACATTGTTTCTGTCAGTATTAATGGAAGATCACAATGTTATAAAGTTGACAGTGGGGCTAAATTTTCTCTCCTTGCGAAGAATGACTTTGGACGTCTACATCTGAACGTACCTGTAGAACCATCAAGGCCATCTTTCCGTTCATACTTTGGAGACATAACCAAACCAGAGGGAAAGGTATCAGTTTCTGTATCATACAAGGGTAAACAGTTCAAAGGTGACCTTCACATTGTCCCTTCAGGTCATGACGCACTTCTAGGGCGCCAATGGATCCGAGGACTGGGTATTGAGCTGTGTGAAATTGACGCTGAAATGAACCGACCAGCTACTACCCTTCAATTACAACCAGTAAATTCAGTTGAGGAACTGTTTGAAAAATTTGCGCCAATTTTCGGGCCAAAAATTGGATGCGTTCCAAACTTTACAGTATCATTACATCTTCGATCAGGAGCAAAGCCTATTTTCAATCGTGAACGGAACGTTCCTCATGCTCTTATTGATCAGGTCAACAAGGAACTAGATTTACTTGAAATTGAAGGAATCATTTCACCTGTTACGTCAAGTGGTTGGGGGTCACCACTAGTCGTGATACCTAAGGCAGATGGAAGTGTTCGTCTCTGTGTCGACTACAAATGTGGTGTGAATGAACGAATAGTCCAGGCAAACCATCCTTTTCGAAAAATTGACGATGTACTCGATAGTTTGAGAGGATCTCGTTATACTTTTGTAAACTTGATCTGTACAAAGCTTATCTGCACCTCAAGGTCGACGAAGAGTCCAGTATTATCCAGACAATGTCAACACACCGTGGAACATATCGTGTCAATCGTCTAAGCTTCAGAATAAAGACAGCACCTTCTGAATCCAATCGAATTCTTACACAAATTTTGAAGGGATTGCCTAAAACCGAGGCCTACTTTGATGACATAATTTGCCATGGTTCAACAATGGATGAGTGCAAAAAAAATCTACAGAAAAGTTCATTTTTTCAAGAACAAATAGAATATCTAGGACGAGTGGTGGAGTTAAACAAAATAAAGAAATCTCCTACCAAAGTTCAAGTTATTAAAGAAATGTCGCGTCCATCAAAAGTTGAAGAATTATGACGATTCTTAGGAATGGTTTCTTACTACTCTCGTTTCTTTCCAGATGTTTCAACTGTCACTTCTCCTTTACGATGTTTGTTACGTAAAAATAAGAAATGGGAATGGACACCAGAATGTGAAAAGGCTTTTCAACGAATCAAAACTGAGCTGTGCAGTAACAGGATACTCTTACCTTTCGATCCAAAACTACCGTTAGTCCTCACCACGGACGCTTCACCTACTGGACTAGCTGCAGTTCTTAGCCACTTAATTGATGGAACTGAGAGACCAATTGCTTACAACTCACGTTCACTCACTGATGCCGAATGTAACAATAGTCAACTAGACCGGGAAGCATTGGCCATAGTTTTTGGTGTCTCCCACTTCTATTATTACTTATTCGGGACTCGATTTCAACTTGTAACAGATAATCAGCCCATATCTAGGATCTTCAGACATGACAAGGCTCTACCACAAATGACTTCAGCTCGTTTACTCAGATATTCATCATATCTGTCAGGTTTCAATTACAAGTTGGTGTTCAAAAAGGGCATGGAAAATAAAAACGTGGATTGTTTTTCAAGAGCTCCTCTTACACAGACTCACTCTACTAAAGACAAGAAAATCGGAAAAGAGGTACACCAAATCTGCAGCCAAGTTATTTTTCAAATTTCAAGCCATGAAATCACAGTTGAAATCATTAAGAACGAGACAGCCAAAGATCCAGTGCTCTCTAAGATTTTGAAAGACCTTCTCACCAATTCAACTGATTCTGATTTTACTTTGGTCGAAAACATTATTTTCCGGGGAGAAAGAGTTTACATTCCATCACTACTTAGAAACAAGATTCTAAATGAACTTCACGAAAGTCATCTTGGAATCACAAAAATGAAACAGCTAGCACGGCGCTATGTTTACTGGCCAAATATTGACAAGGACATTGAGCATCTTGTGAAAGGATGTGAAAATTGTGCACTACCACGGTCAAATCCGCCCAAAGCTCCCAATCACCCGTGGGAAATCCCAAAAGAAAACTGGGAAAGAATCAAAGAATACACATTGTCTACGCAGGACCGTTTCAAGGCTTCAACTTCCTCGTGTGTATTGATGCTAGATCAAAATGGGCGGAGATAAAAGTAATCAAAGATGCACCATCCAGCTCCAATACCATACATCTACTTGAACAGATTTTTGCTACATACGGCTACCCAAATGTTATGGTATCTGACAACGCTTCAATTTTTCTAAGTGATACATTCCAAGCTTATTGCAAATTGCATGGCATTTTCCAGAAATTCATATTTCCAGGACACCCAGCAACAAACGGCTTAGCAGAACGCTCTGTTCAAACATTGAAGAACCGCCTGAAGTCCACAGCTTTGGAAAACATACCAATGGCAATAAAGGTCCAGAAGATCTTAATGCGGTACCGGGCAACTCCTCTAGCATGTGGCAAATCACCTGCTGAACTTTACCTCCACAGGAAGTTAAGAATACGAATGGATGCCATTTTTCCTAATGTACAAAAATCTTCAACTAGAAATGCTCCTTCTGCACGTCCATTCAATGAGGGGGAGAGAGTTCAGGTTCGTCTCTTCATAAACAACAAAAAGGTTTGGGAGTTTGGAGAGGTAAATAAGAAGTTGGGAACTCGACACTATCTAGTTTCCCTTGATAAGTCAGGCCGACTTATAAAACGACACATTGATCAATTGCGGTCTACTTTGATACCAAAACCAACAAGTTTGTTAGGGCTGGACCAATCCACATATTTGATGTTCCACGGGCTTCTAAATACAGCACTAAAGGAAACACTACGGCTGCTACTCCTTATAATCAATTAGCTAATCCTGAAAGACCGTCAACTCGTGAAAGACCATCAACTGCCGTAAGAATATCAAATCCCGGAATACCGTCAACTCCCGAAGGACCATTAATTCCCGAAAAACCGCCAACTTCCAAAGCAAACAATTCAGAGGTTCCAGAAGTTCAGGAAACAGAAACAAACAATGGTCATATTCCTGAGAATAACGAGAGATCAAGGCGACAAAGGCAAATGCCGAGATGTTTCATTCACTCCAAAATCGTTCACTCCAAAAATTAATTTGATAAATTATTTGCCTGTTCGTTCGCTCCAATGTTCATTCAATCCAACGGGTACAGTCAACTCTAGAAGTAGACTAACGAGTAGAAAATATTAAATTTGAATTTTACTGTACATTGGATCGAATGCACATTGGAGAGAACGATCAGTATAATTTAAATATGTAACAATCTTGAACTGTTTCATTCACTCCAAAATCGTTCGCTCCAAAAGTGATCGGTGTTGCGTTCCCCAATCTGCAGGCTCGTGGCGCATGTATATTGTTGTGATAGTTTAGTATGAATCTTTTTGACCACTTGTTCACCTTAACTGTTATGTCTTTACAAAAAAATAATACTTTGATATAGTTATTTTATATTATATACTAGATGACCCGTGCTGCTCCGCAGCATTGAAATTAATAATAAAAAAATAAAATACTAAACTTAATAAGGGCGGTACAACTTTAATTAAGCTCTTATAGGGCTGCTGGATTAATTTCGCCTTATGACCAAATTAAAGTATAACACATTCCATATAACACAGAGAAAATCGTCCCGATGTATTTTTTTCCGTTTTGAAAATCATTTAATCCAGAACAATATCCACACACTTCCTAAAAGCACCTACAGAGAAAGCACGTACATTTTTTAACTCATATGTAACACAGCGTGAATGAGGCTTTATTAAGAATGTTTTATTAACAACAATATTTCTTGTAAAATAGACATCTCTGTCGGTAGAATTGCATGTACGCATATTCTCAGGAGTAGTTCCCTCCATCTGGTAATCTTTATTAATATTACGACTTTTATAATACTTCCTTCCAAACAATGTTTGCTGTTCGTCCACCTTTTGATTTAGTTTCTACTTTTACAGTATCGAAAGATTTCCCTCTCGATAAGGCGACGTACAACTGACCGTGACTAAATACTGGTTCAGGCAAGTACACACCAACTCGATCAATCGTTTGGCCCTGCGCCTTGTTGATGGTCATGCAGAACGCAACCTTTATGGGGAATTGTCTTCGTTTGAAAGAAAATGGTACTGTAGAATCTGATGGAGAGAGATCAATGCGGGGTAATAGTGCACGTTGTCCAATATTTGTGCCAGTTATGATTTCAAAGTCTAAACTGTTTTCATACATTTTCTTGACAATAAGTCTTGTTCCGTTTAGAAGACCTGCTGTGTAGTTTAAATTTCTTAATAACATCACAATGGCACCTTCCTTTAAGACTAATTTGTGAGAAGGCAAACCAGTCATCTCAAGGCTGTTGAGGAATTCAATAGGGAATTGCAATAGTTCACTGTCATCATCTGTAATTAGTTTATTCACACTTATATATGTTTTGCTTGAGCCTGGGATGAGGTCTAAAACTCTTTTATTGATTTCCTCACAATGCTCATTCTTTGGTGCTAAAATGGCACATTTTGATAAGTACGATGAGTCCATAGGCGTTTGTAGGTTTTTTCCATAAATTTCTGAAACTATGTCTGAATCAGAGATAAGTGGTGGGGGTAAGTCCACAGATTTGTCATCAATTGTTGGGTATTCCCCATTGCCAATTTCGAGCAAAAAGTTTGCAAAATCTAACTCATTAGTTTTAGCCCTCATATTTTTTGTTAATTTAAAAATTTTGAATAGTGGCCATAGGTATGAAAACTTAATTGAATTCTGAACAGTAGAGGCTCTAGATGAATGAGGCACAACCGGCAACACTTGCCGGAAATCTCCACCTAAGATAATGATTTTCCCACCAAATGGCACATCGTTATCCATTATATCTTTCAGTAGCCGGTTGACACACATTAGAGCATATTTGTTGGCCATAGGTGCTTCATCCCAAATTATTAATTTTGCAGAACGAATGATAGAAGCCTCTTTACTGTTGACTTTTAAGCCGGAGACAGAATGTTCATTCAAATTCAGTGGTAATTTAAATCGGCTATGAACTGTGCGGCCAAAGGGAAGTAACATAGCAGCAATCCCAGTCCATGCAACGGATATGATTGGCATTCCAATATTAATGCAGCTCTGGATTAAGCATTTATATACAAATGTTTTTTCCGGTGCCACCAGGTCCATCTATGAAGTATGCCTTAACACTTGCAGACTCATCATTGTTTAGAAGTAAGTTTAGAATTTCATCAATCACAACACGTTGTTCTTCATTTGATGACGCGATCATTTTCGCTAGTTCATCATGTTGGATTTCATCTATAGTTTCCTCTATACATGTATTTTGAGGCAATTCATCAATAGATGGTAAATCAAATGACTTCAGAGAGAAACCATGTCATTTTAACGTTTCTGAAATATCTTTCAGAGCTAATTGATAAGCTACTTCGGTCGGGTATGATCTAAGGAAATCTTCAGACATTGAGTCCTTAAAGAGATTCCACAAATTCAGAACATTTGATGGACACTGAAATATACAGATGTAGGCAAACAACTGTCGAAGCTGGTATGGCATTTGAAAAGAAGAGGCCTCTTGTAAGGCTCGCTGCCATTCCATATCATCCAATATTAATCCTCGTGCTGTTGCTGCTGCCTTAAATGTAGGATGTGTGAAATTTTCATACGTTTTCAAATCTTCAAAACTGGTAGCACCAATTACATGTAGTAATAATATACGTAAATTATATCGCTCGGAATCCGCAGGTGAAACATTATACATTCGGCCAATCGTTCTAGAATAGTGTTTACGTTTATGCCATTCATTTTTCTTCCATACATAGTGAACTGGTGTTTCGGGATATACATGTAACGGTCAAAAAATTGACACCTAAAAATTTTGACCTTATACAAAATAAATGCATAGTGAACAAGGAGAGAAGATCGATTTATTTGTTTTGGATAATGAAAGTAGTAATGAACGGAGTGGAAAAGTACTGGGCTGAGCAAACGTTGACCCCTCCTCATCCCGGAAGATTCTCGGAACGGCCGCTACCTCGCCAGGCGCTAGTGTCGGGCCGCGAGCGGGGTGGGGGAAGGCAAGAGCGAGCGGCAACGGAGAGCTCAGTTGGTCAGTCTTGACCCAGCTACCACCCACGACAGACACATCCTCCCCGGTGAGTGCAGTATACCTTTTGAATTACACGTTAGTAATACTGTAGCTACACTCTACCGCTCGTACCTTCGTTCAAACGGTGACATTCGATCGTTGCATTAAGGATTATTTCGTTTTCGTTATTAATATAAGAATATACTTTTGTTTACATTTTAGTTTGGCATAGAGGTTATTTGCCGTTATAAGCGGTTCTGGGAACCAGGGTCGCTCCTCTGACACCCAGAGTCACTTCATCGATTTTATTTGTAGCTAGTCATAGAGCCACTATCACTAGAGGTCAGCCCTTTAAGCTTTAATCGTATTGGGAACCAGGGTCGCTCCCCTGATACCCAGTGTCGCTTAGTCAGTTTTAATCGTATTGGGAACCAGGGTCGCTACCCTGACACCCAGTGTCGCTTAGTCAGTTTTAATCGTATTGGGAACCAGGGTCGCTCCCCTGACACCCAGTGTCGCTTAGTCAGTTTTAATCGTATTGGGAACCAGGGTCGCTCCCCTGACACCCAGTGTCGCTTAGTCAGTTTTAATCGTATTGGGAACCAGGGTCGCTCCCCTAACACCCCGGGCCACTTGATCGACTTTCATCGTTTCGGGAACCAGGGCCGATACCCTGACACCCCGGGTCACTTGACCGACTTTATTCGCCGTTCTTCGTTACTAGCGATCGAGACACGATCCCTCGACACTAGCTCGCCGTTTCATCGATTTGGGAACCAGGGCCGCTACCCTGACATCCCGGGTCACTTGACCGACTTTATTCGCCGTTCTTCGTTACTAGCGATCGAGGCACGATCCCTCGACGCTAGCTCGCCGTTTAATCGTTTTGGGAACCAGGGTCGCTCCCCTGACACCCCGCGTCATTTGATCGACTTTCGTTGTTTGGGAACCAGGGTCGCTACCCTGACACCCCGGGCTACTTGATCGACTTTCATCGTTTGGGAACCAGGGCCGCTCCCCTGACGCCCTGCGTCATTTGACCGACT